AATACATAACAAACAAAACATTACTTACACGTACCGTTCTGAGAATCAGTTCACTTAGTCATCATCAGTCACTCACTCAAAAATAATTATTCAACATTCTTCGATAAACCAAGTTTCCTCAAATAAGGAAACAGATAAGCCAATTGCGTAATATTACGTTGAATTACCAGTCGGAATGCTGTCATGAACGGCAGCACTTCCCCCTGCAAAATCTATCCATTCTCGGACTGATTTTTTTTTACTTCAATATTTTTTTGCATAATTTTTCTCTCGAAAAGATACGTGATGATTTCCAAAATTTGCCATGAATATAATGCAGAGAATTAATGATTCTTTACAAACAACTGGGAAAGGATTGGAGGAAAGTAATTTTTCAATACCTTTATTGGAGGTATGTTCACTGTAGTTTGCGTACTCTCCAGCGCTTCACTTATTGCGGATATTTTAAACACATTTACAATGCTCTAAAATATATTCAAGATGCATTTATTTCTATGAGCGTTTAGCTTTATGATTACAGAAAATGTAGAACTATGCGTTATGATCCGAAAGTATTCTATAGCAAAATTCCTCTTTGAATCAACCATAAAAAAGATGAATGTTTTCACCTGTAAATAACGCCAAAGATCCAGCAGTATCAGGAATGCTTCTCTGTGGCTAATATTCGGTATGACTTGCAGAAATACGGCAAATTCCGCTGGTACCACTTTTCCCTTCAATGAAAACTTCCATTAAGAAGGCCTTTAATTCATTTTCGTAACCGAAGTGATTTCGTTTTTCATGAACGATACGAAATATGTCACGAATTTCATTTAAAAAATAGTTCCACCTTAGAAAAAAACCTATTCATATACTCACTATTTCATATGAATTTATGGCACGTGTTTTTCGTCGGAATCAACGAAACAGTCGCTGGGGATTCATTTTTTTCAAAAATGTTCGACTTTTTAAAAAACAATGTAATGCCCACCTTAATAAAGACGAAGAACAACCGCTTCAGCGAGTCGATATCGAACTCTTGTGGCTTCGACTTCTGACTTGGATGGTTCTCGAATCTAATCATTATCGATGCCAGTAAAGCCTTTAAAATGTGTGAAAGTGACAATCAGAAATGAACAACAAAACCCAAAATCGTTACAATGCCAAAACGGAATTATGATATTACACGAAGGGATTCGTTAATGAAGAACATTAAAAATGTCAACGAAGTTCGATAAAAACAAACGAAGATCAAAACATTCGATGAAGTTCAAAATCGCCAAAAATTAAAACAGATCCAATCAACTGAACGACGATCATTTGAATGATATTATTTTTAAAAAAGGCAACGATCTCAACTAACTTTCAACACCGGAATGCAATACCATAAAGATGGATGTATTTCGGCAATCAAACGCAGCAATGGCCATGCAAACGGCACATTCGATAAGGTATTTGCCACTTCGATATATCTGAAAACTCAGTTCCACATTCCACTCAACATTTTTCACTTTGTAAATCTGCTGCTTTGAAAACATACTAGCTATCAATGAGATTCGATACTGCATAAAAACCTCGCAAGACGTTACTGTCTTTCAATGTGATATTTCAGTGCTGAACTTATTCATTCTATTGCGTTTTCTTTAAGTCAAACCGCAAAAATCATCAAATTTATATTGTAGAAGGGAATTTTTTTAAATTACAAATTTTCGTACTTGTGTGCAATTTCTTTCTCAATTTCCCAATCATACCAAACGAAACTGGCCGTGAGCCCTTCTTTGCACATACGATCTGTCAGTGTTGTTGCCTGTAAAAGTATCCATTAACTTTGATTAACTTCGTATTTGATGGAATATCTCAACAAAAAAGAAAAACAAATTAATCTAAATAATCGAAATTTTCCACACAGCAAACACCGTATCTCTCAGATATCGAATTCTGAAAAAAATGAGAGAAGAACAAAAATTTTCAATTAGTACAAATGCAATATAAACGGGAACTGTTGAAAAAAAAAGTGAAAAAGTCAAAATCATTAGCATAAAACAGATGAAAAAATACCAAATGTTTGTAAGCCGATAAAATTGGCACAAATTGGTCGTCGCCATTTTTTGTACCACCAAAATTATACAACGAATGAACGAATAACGGTCGACGAAACAATTCTCCTCTCTGAATTTCTGTTTTCTTTTAGCGAACCAATAATCAAAAATGAAACTGCATACAATATAACCGCCAAATAATTTATTCTTTTTGATTTATCGTTGAATAATTCTTCTATACTTAAGCCACATCCCTTGAATAATTTCTTCTTTTGAGTAGCTGAGCGTTGAGAATTATTTATTGCGCAGAGAATAACTTATTCTCTTAAGCACCCTAGTTTTAGCTCTTTATAAGTCGTCGAATTTACACTACCATCAAATTGCTCATTCGCTTTCAAATGTAAACTATTGAAACGATGAACTTATGAAATCGATCACCTTCAGCTTCAATTCCTTCTGTTTTCGTGCACCTTTGCCAATGATGCCACAATTTGCGATCTCCAGCGGATTCCTTCCACCAATCGGCATTCGTCGTAAACGTTGCAGAAGAGATTCGGACGCAATTTCGTCGTTCATATACTCTTTAAATGCCTCCCCAAGACATCCAGCTATGTTCGGGTCCAACGAGTTCATCACATTCTTCTCCTTCTCTTTCTCGTACGAATACTTCGACGCTGCACCGAACAATTCAACAACTCTCTGCAATTTCAACAATGTCAGAAAATTAATGAACGATGCAATTCGCTTGTTTACGGAAAAAAACGTTAACGGATAACGTTAGCATATGCTTTATCTACTGATGAGAGAGTTTATTATTATTGTCACATTGTTCAAACGTGCTAACAAATAAGCACAAATATTGATGAATTCAGTTGATCAGCGAATTAAACGAATGCAAGCAACTCTTTACAATACACATTTCAATATTAATGTATCAAAAATTCATGCGAGTGCTCTCACTCTCTAAATCTGCCGATTGAAATTCATAGTGAACATCAACTGTTCAGCAACTCATTGTCAACAAATAATCTGAGTGAACACTCCAAAAAAGAACTGAAACAAAACTAAACGAAAATGAAACATTCAAATATTCAAAAAACTAACCGCAAGTGCTTCATCCATAAAATGTGTCATAAACTGTTTTCGTACATAAAATGGTTGTGAATCAAGGAACTGTGATACCAAAGCACAACTCGAGAAATACAACGCAGGTGCCAGTGGTCGATCGTCTATAAATTATTTCATTACTCCCAATCTATCACTTTCTCGTCTAAGTTCATTCGATTCCAAGTGAAATCAAGGCAATGCCATGATCTCGTCCCTCTCGATTCATTAACGATTTATGCCTGCTGATTGATTCGTTCCTAGCTCATACATCGATGCAGCGTTATTAATTCATTTGATCAGTCATGTGCCCAAACGAATTCAAAACACAAACCTTTCGCAACATTTCGCAGAAGTAGAATGAGCAATGAGGCAAACTGAGCACAGATTTTGTACGCGTATTTTGGTTTGAGAATTGGTGGAGGTTCGATGGAATGAGTGAATTGAATGAACGTCTTCATCAGAGTGGCAATCATGCTATCTCGCTCCCTTTCATTCTGAAAAGGAACAATTTATAATCCGGACACGTGGAAACAGCCTCATTTTCAGTAACAACAAACAAAACGTTTCGGGAGCCGAAACGAAACACTCATTTCGGGAATATTCTCTAGAGAGAGTCCATTCAGCATATGAACGCTCTCGAGTGGTTGGATTTGCAAAAACTGCAAAACTGAACTTTAAAAAAAATCATTCACAAATTTTGATAAAAATGAGTTATCTCGCTCCAAATACTCAAAAAATTCAGAATGACAGATTTAAAAATGAGATAAAAATCGCTTCGATTCACGCACCTCAATTGTTTTATCATTNACATAAACCATTAATTGTCCATAATGCTTTGTCATTTCGAATCTTCAAAAAACAAATTCACATCACCAATTCACAGGTTCCTCACCAATAAAATCAGAGATGAGTTCATTGCTTCAAAACGACCTAATTGGTGAATCTCGTTCAACGAAACATTCGAATGTTCGTAAGATGATTGAAAAAGAATTGCTGCAAAAAACACAACCAACGAATTCTCAACGAATTCCAAACAGTATGAAATTTTTACCGAAGGAATGCAATGGGATGGCTCTCGTGAGCTGTTTTCTGCCATTCGTTTAGTGTCAACAAATTGTGCAGCCATCCTACATTCGCGCTATTGTCCGCATCGTTTGTTTCCATCGCTGATCCTGAAACACCTAAAAACACATCGAATGAACAAAATGAACACAAAAATAAACAAACGAATAAGCAATTCAGCATAAAATATACACATTTCTACATATAAACGTTTAACAGAAGCAGTAACCTTCAGCAATTTGCCGTCGAGTTGCGATATTCCTGTTTTCGAATTCGAGAATGTTTCGAAGGCGAATCAGACTCGTTATACCTTGTCTCGGTGAATTCGGCATTATATGCTCTGTTGCAATCAACAGTGCACACAGCGCAGTTAACTGAAACCAAGAAATCATTAATTCACTTCAATGACGGAAAATTTTAATTGAACCTCTGACTTTCTTCCAGAACAGATTGTTGCTGATAATAAACATGCATATCGCATTTTAAAAGAATTATTGATGCTTATCTGCCGACAAATTAATAAATCTCAAATCGCGACCTCACAACTTCCCAAAAGTTTTCATACTGAACTTTACTTCATAATCTTCTGAGAACGCAAGCATTGTCATACACTATTTTCGACGTATGACAATGCCCGTAACTCGATTTAAACTTTGGATTTATGATGTTTTCACGTACTTGTTGAGAGTCTCTGGCTTCCATGATGAATCTCGCTATTACTTCGGCTGTTTTCAGTGGACCGGTTACGACACAAAATGCATTCAAGAATTTTATACTGAATTTCCCTCTGAAACTATCAATGCGGTTTATTTGAAAGAACTGTCCTTCAGACTTAACAACATTTGCAGAAATGTTTTTAATGGTACGGACTAGGTCGTTCAATTATGAGAAAAACTTCAAAGATGATCGGAAAGCAAAATAATTCTCATCAACCAAAAGTAAACCAATCCGAACTATCAGAAGATCACGCACCTCTCACCACTACACATCGCTCCACTTATATATTCCCTTAACTTGGTTGAATTCAACACACACTGTCCTATTGAATCCCTTTCGCTCATCACGAACAACGCTTGACTATGAACCGATGAGGTGATAATCGAAAGGATTTCATCCTGAAACATATTCACAACAATGCCTATAATCAAGGCATATCAACCAGTATATAATAAACAATGCACTGTGTACATATAATCAACGAGCATGTTCAAATATTAAAGAATCTGAACGAAGCAATTGACATTCGAATAACATTCCACTTACAATAATCTCAATCGCTCCGCTCTTTATCGCCATTGCCCATGGTTGGTGTAATTCTGCAAACACAAACAATTCCCTCCAACAGTAAATAAAGATTCTCTCCAAATATTTCATCTTTACAAAATCAAATTTCAACATTCAAAAACATTCAAAATTTCGCCAATTTCAAATTTCAAATATTGCCCTGCAAATATTCAAATATCTGTCGGACAGAAATCTCATATAAATGCGCTTAAATATGAAACAATTGCTACAAAAGCAAAAGCAAATGAAAGCAAACGAATCAAAAGAATACTCAGTCACTAACGTTGCAATGCAGATTCGTCAAAAGCGAGCGGAATGGATGCATCGAGCACAGTCGCGATGTTTTCACCACTCATAAAGCACAAGAACTGTTTGAGGATTGTCGAGTAGGTATGTGAGAAACCAGCCACCATCGGCACCATGCAGTCGAGATTGATTTGCAGCAATTGCACGCAAGCTTTCACGACCACTCGTCTTTTCACTCAAATCAAAAACATCTCCATTATAGTTAAATGATGTGGTGCCCGGTCAATCTGCCTACACATTTAGCCTAATGGCAGTTCGTCCAAAGACACATTGCCTAACAGATAGTTTGCCTATTAGGCGAAATATCCATTAAAAAACCGTAAGTTAGGCAAACTGTCCGTTAGGCTAAATGTCTTCAGGCAGACTGACCGGTCACGAAATGATGTTAGTACTCATAAAGCACGTAGAAATTACAAACACACAAATTGCCCAAATCCATTTACACTGAAATCAACTTGCGATTCCGTGCTCTTCCAAACTTTCAAACTAGCTGTGAAAAAGCATTGCTCTAATAAACACACCACTGGAATAATTCAACTCATATCAACCGAGTGTAACATTCAAAATCATTACATAATTCTAGACATTACATCATCATCATCAAATTGCTCTGAATACAAGAACTGCTGGAGAGCCTACCTAAGTTTGAACTGAGACGTGGAAGAAGAAATCCCAGAAATTCACTCGATGCTGCGAGCAGTTTGAAGATAAATGGAATCGAGAGATCTGTTTCGCTTGTTATCGCCATATCGGATGAACTGTCCAGCAATTCGATTCCTTTCTGAAACGCGATTATCACAAAAAAATTCAATCCTCAAATCAAAACGGCTCTACTTCTTAGCTTCGATAGCTACAACACACGCGAACATTTTCGCTTCTTGAAGTTGATAGCCAATGAGATGCTATGCAAATGATACTCGGCAAAATAATAGCAACGATAATAATTTTAAGTGCAGTCATATCAACAACACTAATAACAAACAACACTCACGATGAGCATATCGCGAACAACGCATCTCAACTCAGGACGACGTTTCGATGCCAAATACGCGAACGTTTCACACGACGTCGTAAATTTCCGTTTGTAGATCTGATGCGTTTCAAACAATGCTGCCGGATTACTCTGAAAATTTTCCTTAAAAACGCGATTCCATGTTTCTACACAATCGATTCGGCATTCAACTGCTATCTGCATGTGTTTAACGTCGTCGTCAGCAAATCCGTAAAGTTTATAATTCAACGTGCACAATATCATCGACTGAACAGGAGAGCCGCTTACATGAAATCGAGATTTAAAAATTATGTTATTCACACCAGAAACTTACTTGTTGTTCAAGTGTTGCAATCGTTGCAATATACTGCTTAAACTGTTCAGCACCCAAATTCAACAGGAACGTCATAATAGGCACAGGAAATGACCATCTGCAAATTTTATATGCACATACATAACAGATGACGCTATCACCACAACAAACTTCCAAACAGCAATACGAATAAACTTACGCTAAATGAAGCCAAACCCAATCGAAGCAGAATCCATGCATTGAAGCGTCCACCAGTGTATGGAAACACTCTTCTGGTGCACCATCCAAACTGAAACAATCCTCTTTACAAACCTTACACTCTGACATTCACCAACCAGGAATACTATGCTCTTATCCTCAATTTCTCAGTTCTCACTTCAAGTTCTCCCTTGAAGGTGAGTTCAAACATGAAATAAGAATCGCATTCATAAAAGTAACCTAGTGAAGCTGGAATATCCCATCAGTGAATGCCATAAACATAGGTCAATCTATGCAGTATATGTGGATGGATATAAAAGACAGTATTGACTGCATAGCGAAATGTGCAATGTTGTGTCAGTCATCCCATTCACAGATTCCTATTCCTAACCAGTTGGTCACTAGCTGACGTTTTTGAAACCTACGAACGATAAGTGAATCTGTTCTGGAGTTCAATCAGTGTTGTTTAGGACACAGAGTGTTACATGACAAGAAAATGATAACCGAATGCTGAATATTACACTTACAGAATCGCAACAGCTTTGTCGAATAACTTCAAAATACCCGCAACAGATGGTGACGATTCAAAGAGATGGAGTAGATTTCGTGGTGCTACACCAGTTTGCTGCGCCAACGGTCTTTCATAATTACACTGACAAATTTCCGCAAGAAGTGAACACAGATACTGCAATCATGATTTTACAAATTCGATTCGTTTGTATAACTTCAGTTTTTTTTCTCTTTCCTCATGTAGCATTTTTTTATCTAAAATTAGGCTAGCTGTCACCAACTACCTCATCAAAATAACTTTCAATTTCCTCACCAACTGAAAGAATTTTCTTCAAACTGACTCATCTTAAGCCTGAGTCATTTCCTGAATAAAAATGTTCGATGAATTCACTCAAAATTTGCCCGTAGTATCAGCTCTTTGAATGTTGCAAAACTACAGAGTTAAGTGGCTTCTAGTGACAACGGGATGTAATCCGCTTGCAATACCTTCAGAACGTGCGATGCTAAAACTTTTTGTTCAGTGGACGACAGAAGCCCTTCGAAGTTCGTCGACAGCCTGCGTACGGCTCTTTCGACACTACCCGAATCGCTTCCTGAAACAAAAACTGCATTTTGAAAACAACTATAGAAAGAAACTTTTTTGTCGACTACTAAACGAAGCTTTTTCCACTGTTCATTAGAAAAAAAGAAAAGCTCAAGAGGGATAAAAAAATAGACAAAAATAACCGAAATGAGGATTCTCCTTTTTCATGAAGTACAGATGCGTTGCTTCGTGAGTTAACATTCCCAAATAATTCAGCACGGCTGATCTGCAAATGACATACTTCAAGTGAGCACATCAAAATGAATCACTTAGAAATGCTTCTGCAAAGAATGACAAAAATGTTGCTGAGTAACGAATCGTCAAAATGGTTTCGGCTTGTCATAAGAGTAAAGAAACGAATGAATTTAACGGAAAGTAATCACACCTTGAGCTCGGTACCATTGATAGTACTTTTTCAGCTGGATCCACTAGATGTGAGGTGGACGTAGATGCCCAGAATGGACGCAGAGTACGATAAATTGAACTCGCATCTTCAGCTTTCGATGCAACACTATTGAAATCGGCGATCACGCGAACCTAAATCATTTCGCTTGATTTAATCACAGATTCCTTTCCTTATTAAACTGCAGGTTCAGTTCTGATGTTAAAATAATATTTGTACTGCTTTCATTTCATTCTCAACGTGTGTACACGAATGAAATGACTGCGACTCATAAAATACATTTGATCAAGTGAATAATCAGTTGCATGAATTTATTTGCTCACAAAACAGCAATCAGCATTTGAGAAGAAAAGCTCTCGTTCCTTAAGACACGACTGAATTGCTTCAGCTGATGGATTTGTCATCGAGACGGAAACGTTTTCGGATTGAGGGTTTCTCAATGAAACAACTGATGAAAACAAAATGAATTCTAAAACTAACCGTCATATTACCACTTGGTCCAGTGTTGTCATTATTGTTGGTACCCGTGGATCGTGATCCCATTTCTGCAAAAAAATACATAAATAAATTATTTCGAATAAATTTTACTGCATAAAATGACGATTCTAAAAGAACAGAAAGAAAAAATATGTGAAAGCATCGTGGGTAAGTAAACTGATAGCGATCAGTGATAGGAAATCACCACTGAAATTAGATTTTTGATTGTGAGTCAGCAATTTCAACGATCGCCTTCAGCGATCCGCAAACATTTCCCAGCATATGATCATAATCCAAAATTGAATATTATTTACTTTAACTGAATTATTTACTTTTAAAAATATTGAAAATTAAATTCATTTAAAATAATTATAATTTTTTAATTCAAAATCATAATTCTTCTACTAATTCAAGAAATTACAATTCAAAAATTGTACAAATTTAAAAAATGATGATTCAAAACAATTATAAGGAACTCTCAACTGTTAACTAATGTTGAATTATAGAAAATCACATATCTGAGTTTTTACATTTCAAACGTCCTCATGGAACGAATCCAGAAAAAGAAGTTCATCTGAAGCAAATTCCAATGGGGCACTTGCTCAGTTTAGAATTTGTTGCAAGAGAGCAGCGTTATGTTCATCACATATGAAATCGAACAACTTTCCTTTACGTGTTTCATCGTGCTTTTATTTGAGATTTTATTTATTGTTTGTTTTATTTTGTTTTTATTATTTGTTTTCGTTTTTTTGTTTATTTTTTTTGTTATTTTGTTTATTATTTATTATCATTTGTTTTTTTATTTATTATGTCTATTTATTTTGTTTTATTTTGTTCATTATTCATCTCGATTTATTTTTATTTTGATATCGTGCTTTAATTTTTAATTTTTCAGAACGATTTCGCACATGCAGTTGGTAACGACTTGGAAAAATGAATGTGTGCTGGCTAGCAATCGTTTCAGCAATTCTTTCTTTAAGACAACAATTTCAACTGCCCGTAAAAGTGCCCTAAATGGTAAGTTTCGAGAGAATATCCTCTTGTAACTTTTCAAATTAGTAAATCAACTACTCAGTGAAATGAATTAACGATTGATTGCACAAAAAACTCAAAATGTTGAATTCAATAACAAAAAAGTCGAGAGCTAGTAAGAAACTGTTGTATTTACTGTGTGCGAACATTGTCGTTGCAAACGATGTAATCTCTGTAGAGTTTCATTGTCATTCGATGCATCTCAATGGCATTGCATTTTTTATCGTGGTGTGCCTAACGAGATATTCAGTTGACGTGTACTGTGATGAATGATATTGAAGCGCAGCTATGTGATCTGGGTAATTTCACGATCTTCCAATCTTTCGAGTGGTTACAGATGAGAAAAGTGGTGAAGGAAATGGACGAGGAAGCAACAAAATTGAAGAATCTATTGAATTGCATGGAACGAGATGGCATAACTTCTACCATCAGTTTACTACAAAAGTTAACGATTCACAGTTGGTCGTCCCAGTATCAGGATATTCGATTCTACTCGTACTTCTGCTGAATATTTGTTTGTTTTTGTTTCTAATCAAACACCTGCGTCAGCTCATGCGTTTGCCTTTCTCGTAAATGGCGATACCTGTTTTGTCAAAATTGTCTCAGCTTCGGCTCTGCGTTTTTGAATTTTTTGGCTCCGGCACCAGTTCCGCATCTTTGAAATTTTACCTCCCGCTCCAGCTCCGCATTTTTCAAACTTCAGTTCCGACTTCAAAGCAGTCTAAATCCGAAAGAAACCTATCATGTTGATGTTAGCTCCGGTTACTGAATATTGCAGTGATATTTTTTTGAAAGAGCCAAGTGAAATTCTTTGGGGCCGTGAAGATTAGGCATCATTACCCATTATTTATCGCTTGAAACTATCGGAATTCGGAAGTGAATTCATTATTTGTCAGATGATTGATTGGAAAATTTTTAGTGTGATATAGCGGAATCCTTCGAAAGCGAATCGAAACTCAATTAGAACGAGCCGTTCATCGAATGGCCCAATTCGAGGCGACAGCTGTTAAATACGAGAGAATTGTCGAGAATTTAGAAGTGAAAGAGAATTCCAGTATGAAAAGTTGTCTTAGAGCGGCACAGGTATGAGATGGATTTTGAAAGATTTTATTGCATTCAAGTGGATGGACATAATTACGATCATAAATCTGATCTGCAATATTTTTTGAATTCTTTCAATCTTTCGAATGGTTACAGGCGAGAAAAGTGGTGAAGGGAATGGACGAGGAAGCAAAAAAATTGAAGAATCTATTGAACTGTATGCAACGAGATGGTATAATTTCAAAGGATACTGCTTCAGACTTTGTAAAGTAATCTATCAAAATGCATTTGTTTTTGTTTGTGTGTGTTGCTGTTACCGAATATTATTACTGAATACGTATAGTTTATCATTTTGCAAATAATATTTGCTGCATCAATTGTTGTATTTGGTTGTTTTGTAAAGAGTATGCTTTAGTGGAAATAAACACTGAAAGTGATTGCAGTTTGTATTGCAATAGCAATAATTAGATCATATAAGGAATAAAAAAGCACAAATTAGAAGCGTACAAACTATCGCTTGCGTTACCTTTGCTATCCAGAGATTCATCCGTCTTGTTTTGGTTGCTGCAGTTTTGTTCTTTATTGCATCGGTATTATTATTATTATTGTTTACTCATAATTATTATATTATTATCATTATGAGTATTACTAGAATCGTTACTACTACTAACAGTCGTGACAGTCAAGCGGAAAGTGTAAGTAATGCTTAAAATTTCTACGACGAGTATAGGATGCGATGTTAACATTTTTTGAGTGAACTTTTGGGATGTTTTCTTTCGCTGCAAATGCGACTAGTTGATTTCGTAGCGATGCACTGAAAATAGCGGAAAAAGTTTTTGGCCTTACCAATTATACATCACCATAGTGTGAGGAGCGCTGATAACAAGTATAATGTAAGGTGATCGATTGATTGATTGATTGATTGATCGGATCAACGATGGACAATATTTCGAATACGGAATGGATGTTACTGATCGCGCTGATGATACATTTAACGATGGCGCCATGCACGAAGGTCGAAGAGAGCTTCAATGTTCAAGCAGTACACGATCTTTTATTCCATCAAATGAACACTTCACAGGTGAATTTGTTAATCTAACGTGTAATTGTAGGCTGATTGAAATCTTCATGCAGCTTGCGGTGCATATTTTTTGATGATTTCAATTTATCGTAATGATATTTCAATATAGAAACAATTACCTGTCATGCTTATTGTGAGTTTATGACAAACGAATGACAACACAAGATTAAGTGCTTCTTGTTGTGAGGTGGATGTTTGTAATATAAGGTTCGTATCAAGTTCTGTCTTTCAAGCAAATTCAAGTGCGAGAAAGCATATGAAAGACTGAACTGCATTTCGAACGGTACTATCATCCCCGGCTAGGTACTACTAGTTGTGAACACTGATGTTTAACAGTAAGCACTGAAGCCAAGAAGACTTATTTCGCCTCGTTCAAAACAAGAAGTCACAGCAACGTTCAGTAACCGAAGCTAAGACCGGCATGATAGATCTTTTCTGGAGCCCGAGCTGAGGCGAACTGAAGCAAATATCTAGACTGAAGCTGAAATTTTGGAGACGCCTAGTTAGAGCCGAGATTTTGAAAAATGTGGAGTTGCAGTCGGAATTTCAAATATACAAACATAAGGCCAAAGTCAGAAATTTTGAAATCCCAAAGACGGAGTCGTAGCCAATAATTTTGAAAACGCGAAGCCGGAACCTGAGTTGGGTCAATTTTTCTTTTCAAATTATGCATCACTGGCTATGATGTTCGCGCAATTTTTTACCATCTTGCCCAGTCAAATTTAAACTGTTTTTGACCGTTGGAATATGAATTTTACGTGACTGACCTCTATCATCAAGTGATGAAGTGTTGACTAGAGATGTTGCACAGTTTATTCGAAGCAGTCAAAAGAAATTGAAGAATGCACTCCGCAATACCTCATAACAGCAGCCGACATAATTGGTTGACATTGTAAAGTGTTTAGCAAAGCACAGAAATGCAATGATGCCACCACAATCACTCTTACGGGAATTGCAATTAATGTTATTCGTTCTTAAGTATGATCATCACCAATTCCCGGGCGTTGTACCAAGAACATTCACGGGTTCGATCGCGTTAAGTGCTCTTATCTATCCGTTTGCGAAACTAATGCTGTGGTATGATGTACCTAAGTATTGGATTCTTTATGCAGGTGATCTTGAAGTTCTTTTCGAGCAATTATTTGAGTTTATTAGTTGTCAAATCTTTAAACGATCAGTTGCAATTTATTTGCTTCACTGAATTTCAGCACGTCTTTTGCTTGGTATGACTGTTTTGCTGAGTTTTGGAAATTTTGCACGATGTGTGCAGAAGCATTATGGTCAACACACGGCTCACTTCTTGAGGTTTTCTTTTCACTTCTTGAGGAATTTTGTTTTATTTGACGAAATGGTCAATTCATTTGGTCATTTTCAATAAATGAAACTCCGCCTCTCTTAGCATGTTTGCAAATGCCATATTATCAGTTCTCATTTAGTTTTTTTTCTAATCGAATTCGAATGGAAAATTAGGGCCTTCATCAAATAAATTCATCACAAGTAACATATTTCCTGTCTGTTTTTGAGATTTCATCGATACTTTCTTATTTTATGCGATTCTTTTGTTTCCAGTAGGACATTTTCGTTGCAGGCTGATAACTGTTTCTCAGTTCCACTTTTTATTTTATGCGTCAAGACCGTTGCCAAACACATTCGCTTTGATTGGAGGTTCGTGAATTTATGCTAAGTACTCCGTCAACTTTTTGTAATGCCAAACTTCACGTGGTAGTTTTGAATGTATCATCAAAAGTAAATTATCGAACGTTTTATTGCTTCATCTTCTGTCATACAAAATAAGTTTTGATTTTTCTCAGTGTTGTGGGTCTACCAATTATGGCTCNGCGTGTGGCAACCGTATTCGCCGCACTGTTTCGATGTGAGCTCATCGTTCTATTTGCGCCAATATTCATCGTACCATTGTTGAATGGTGCTTTACCCATACTCGGACGAAAAGGTGCTCTCTACAACGGGATTTTGGCGCTTTCGGCCGCCCTAGGTAAATCAATTTTTTGTGAATGTCGATTGACATTTTGTGGAACATCAATGGTTTTGATCAATGTTTGAGATATTCGAGAAGGCGCTCCATTAGAGATAGTTAGAGTTGACTAAATACTTCGTTTCAAATCGCCTGTTGGACACTTCATTGGCTATTGTGAGATGCGATCGCAAATTTTAAGCAATTACGATACCAGTCGATTCACTTCTATGGAGGCGCTGGCTTTGGCCTGAAGGCGAAGTCTGGTGGTTCAACGTTATGTTGAACAGGAGCAGCGAATACGGGGTTCGTTGATTTCGATCAAATTCAGAACTCTTTGAAGCAGATTTGCAACAGTGACTCAATTTATTGCTATTGTAATAAATTCTTCTTGATAATGCCACATACTGAAGTTACTCTCCACTCATTAACAAATTCAGTGCTGCTTCATTAATTCAATGTTATATGATCACGACTTATTTTTAGTGCAAAGTAAGATTATAAGTTACTTACTTTGAGCAAGCCTTTATTAAGTACATTTTCAGGTGATGCCGTTCCTTTGGTATTTCTATTCAGTTTTACCCCGAGCACTTTTGTTATCATTACTGCTGGTGCCAGTTGGCCTTATTGTTGGTTTGTCGCTTTTTGAAAAACATTTTCAACATACCTAGATACAAATCGTTAAGCTCGTTGACAGAAAGAATTGGTCGGCCGGGTTTTCAGCTCTCCACACTTTAGAAAGAATATAGTGGCATGGAAGATGTGGTGCTGCGTATATGCATTTTATAAGATTGCCTACGAACAGATTTGGATCCTTCCAATTTTATTAGACAGTCAAATTCCTGTTGTATATATAAATCTCAGTTAATATCTCACTATTCGAACATTTAGCATTTGTTGAATCATCTACATTATATCCAAATAATTTTAAACTGGTGAGCTTCGTAAGGTTCTGTTTGAATCAAGATATTCCCAACATTAAAGTCAATTTTGAGAACGACGATTGCTCGGAATCACCGTACCAATAATTTTCTATATAGTCGCATATTCGTTTCTACCGCATAAAGAACTTCGCTTCGTCATTTACACATTTCCAATACTGAACATCCCTGCTGCAGCGTTTTGTGCACGATTGTAAGTTGGTTTATCGATTTTGTTGGAGTGCTCGATTTATTTTAACATCATTAAATGCACAGATTTTACTGCATACGCTCATTGTACTGCAAATCGTGCTTTGATGATTATCTTGTACTTGTTATTACATGGCCATTTCGTTGATGAATACTGTTGTGCCAGCAAACTTGACAATATCAGAGTATATCACATTCTGCATCCAGACGTCGCCATCCATCTTAGCTCTATTCCTAAGCATTCCTTCATTGCAACCTTCTCCCAGTGAGCGATTGCCAGCTCAATGGGCTGTGCAGAAAAGAGATGTGGATTGATTGATTGATTGATGGT